ACTTGTTTTCAATAAGGATTTAAAAGTTACAATCGCGAACGCGCTCTAGCAAAATGGGGGCTCAAAATGCCCATAAATCCCACGAGATTTCAACAAAGGAATATATTTCTTTGGTTGCATTTGAAGAAATTCTTTGATGGGAGAATGAGGGACAGTAGCAATTGTTTATTTCAACTTTGTTCATAATAAATAAATAAATAACCTTCACTATTCCATAGCGTTTTCCCGTAGCTCTCACCTTGATCAGCTAATAATCCCTGCACGAAATCAGCAAAGTTGAGTTAGGCCAATTTCGGCAAACCGTAATTACTGCAAAGATATTGTAATAGTAAAAAGTGATAATAATGAATACCTTCAGGACCATTATAAGCATAATTATAGCTTCTCTTCATGTGCAGGTTTTGTTTGAATGTGGGTCAACTATTTTGGCAATAGTCGGATAGGATTTCGCACGAGATGCTCAATTGGGGCTTGAAGTGTGCTTCAATATAAATTATTTTTGCCAAATTTCAACTAATTTCTAGATCGGAGATATGCAAGAGTGCATGGTTAATTTCACGGTTCAATTCAAACGCTATTCGTAGCTGGAGAGTTTGTTTGAGGTCGTGTTTTGCGTTGGAAACTTGTGCAATGTTTGATAGTTTGTTCATTTTTCGTCTTTATTTGGTTTATAGAAAAGTTATCAATATTGGGGAACTAGGGGTTCCAGAAAAGGCGGTTAAATAGACAAAGAACTGCTGTTTTTGGGGCTTCAAGAAGTGAAGGGCTTTTAACCCAGTCCGAAACCCGCAAAGTTACCAGGAACTATATACTCTCTTCTATATTTTCAGTTAATTAAGTGAATATAGTCGTCATCCAAAGAAGGTGATTGCGAAATGACATCAGATATGATTTGCAAAATGATTTTTTTGGGAATCGTTGCGATGACTTCATTTTTGGGTGTGGATGAATTATTGCCGACGTCGGTGCATCTTTCAAAGTGGGTTACGAGTGTGTTTTTTCAAAACACAGCGGATTTTCGGAAATTATCTGTAAGGCCATCGAGTGTGAATTTGTTGCCGATCAACATCAAGCTGCGTTTCATGGACATCATGCGCGATGAATAGCTAATTGGCTGACAAATATATAACAACCAAGTGAAGGGAAAGCGGAATTAAACAAATGTTTATTAAGAATATTGAAAAGGAAAAACGGAACGCTTTCTGAGCATTTAATTGATTATGTATGATTCCGGCCACAGTCAATAATTCCGAAGAATAGAAAATGCGTAATCAATTATAGTTTTACACAATTCTATTTGCGCTTTATACACATTGATAATCGCTAAACTCAAGCATTAAATTGAAAACAAGTTGATTTTTGCTATTTTGCTGCTTAAATTAATACAAATACTGTCGATTTGCGGAAATTAACGATTTGTGTGCGCTTGCGGCGAAAATTATCGAACATAATCACGCAAAAAGTAATTAGTTTGTTTTTCACATTTTATCTGGTCGATGGAATGGCTGATTTCACTTTGCTGTATTAAATTTAATATTTTCTGCAAGCAGATTTTTCACTCGATCCTCGATTACATCAGATTTTCGTTGGTTTCAAATTTGTCAATCCAATTAGTCCGAGCGACTTAAAGTGATCAATTGGATTGTGGTGGGCAAAAACAACCAACATCGTAAAACTGTTGACTAATGTCAGGTTAATCTCAACTTATAATAGCCAATTCCCATACCTCTGCAGCTCATAAATCGATAAGAATGGCTGCGATCAAATCCAATTAGCTTTTGTCAATAAATTCGAATTGGGATCGATTTTTTTTACGAACTGTGTTGGGTACTTCGCCTCAAAAATGTTTGTCCTTAAAAAAGACAGAATTTCCTCACGTCTTTTATTACAAATCGATAAGCAGTGCTCTTATTGCGAGATAAGAACATGCACGTTTCACTAGCACGCATGGCTAGCATCTTCAGATATGTTCTCGCTTTACACGCTCACAAGCATTTGAATAATCAACACTGATTCGAATAAATTAAAATAAACTGCGCTTCCCATTCAGGAATGTAGTTGTGTCGGCTCAACATCGGTTCTCTCGGTTGTACACATAGGACTTAAGGGAGATGCACGATAGGCTGTGAGTTGCTGCGTTCCAACTTGACACCTTCACGGCTAGAAATATATAAGTTTTTTGCGCGATAAAGCTTCAAATACATATTTTTTAATATTGAATAACAATGAATGGACACATGTTTTCTTCTTTAAAGCCTATTTGTCTCAGAAAAATCTGTGATTGGTTTCGAAGCTGCTGGGTTAGCCATAAATTATGACCGAGTGACTTGTTTCTTTATGTATGCAAGGACTGACAAAACCATTTTTAGTTAGCTTTTTCGCATTCTTCGCGAATGATTTTTCATGCAATTAAATAGTGTAATTTTGCACATTTTTCTCAAAATGTCTTAAATTTTACATCGAACTCATTGAAAAACATGGTAGAACTATTCAGAGCCCATTTCGTTCCAAACTGTTATAGACAGTCGAGAATACACTCTGCGAACAATCTGATGTTCTATTTTGAAAATAAGTTAATCGCGGTAAAATTCAGAGTATTTTGTTTGGGAAATCGTCTTTTCGACCTTAACCGATTGCAATTTTCCGAGATGCAGTTTTTATAGAAATCGCTCGTTTTTCCACAAATTTCAAAATTTTCAAATCGCCCGGATATTAACAGTTACGCAGAAAATTTCCACATGCAAAGCGCTGTTTTTCCAAAAAAAAATCGACCTTAAGTGTGTCTGGTTTTTGAAGACAATTTTCAAGTTAAACTCGACATGGATGGACTTTGGCCCAAACCATTCCTCTCATTTGCGAGCCTTGAAATTGGTAAAATCTGTAAATCGCGCCCAATTACCGATGAATGTCTCTTTCATCTTCTGAGCAAATAACAATAAATAACCGACAACAACAGAAGGTTCGGAAACCCGTCCGACACCTGCAGATAAAACGCACTTTCAACTGTGCATTATTGTTGCTTGAAAACGAAAAAGAAAAAAAATCAAATAAGTACAGAGTAATTGTTTATAATTACCAATGACCCATTTTAGCCAACTCGCAATCGTTCTATACGGGGTGTTTCTAGCCTTGGTCCATGTCGCTGACTCTGCATAGTGAGATAATATTGTTTGGTTAATTGTTGATTAGCACACAACATCCGAAGAAGAGAGATCGTTGCGTCGCATTTTAGGTCATTGGATGGTGGCAGAATTAATAGCTTTGGTGACAAGATTTACATTGTAAAAAAATTATAAACGTGAAGGCCTAAACACGTTGTTTTGTCTTGGATTGAAGATTTCTTGGAAACGTTCCTCTCGGTTTGGATAAAATCAAGATCGCGTACAATTACGTCATACAGCCATGTCGCTGCGAATCTACACAGTTGTAACAATCAGACGCTTCTTTGAACTGGAATTATCATATTTAAAGGCCAGGGAAATCGGCTTTATTTGCCTGCTTTGGCCAGAGTTCAAGGATTCAGGTCTATTCGGGAAATAAAGAAGATTAAGTGGTTTGCCCATAAAAAACAGTTTTTAAGACCCAGACGATTTCAGACGTGCATTGTTCAGTCTTAGCGATTCTAACGGAGGATAATTATTTGAGCCGAAGCAGCACTTCAATGTTTTTGCATCGAAAAAAATTCCCCWATCGACTAGGCTCTAACCGGAGCCCGAAGGGCCATTAAGCAAAAAATTGATCTGGTTCCGGATCATTCATGCGGTGAATCCCCATCGCATCTGCATGAAAATCAAGTGAATTAAGCTGACGAGAACATCCTGAACGAACAGTGCAAAGGCCATTTTACGACGTAAACAGCACGAAAAACAGAAGCCCCATGTAATTACAACATAAGGCTGATATTAGACCCAAGTTCAATGCCAATGGCAAAATCCATTAGTTGAGGAAATCAGTAATTTTAAGATCGTTAGTGGAAGGTGATAACTTGCAGAATTAGACACGCTAACTGAGGGATTATGTAATGTAATGGAAACTGAGTTTTTGGCCATTGGTGAGGTTTGGGAAGCAACTACCTCCTCCCAAGCTCGAGAAAAGTTTCCATTCCATTGAAAAAACACCAGACTAGTGAAGTGGTGAATCCCACGATTCTCCTTTGAACCGATTTTTTAACAATCAAGTCGGCTCCTGCTGGCCTTGCGATCAAAGGCCCACATGGCCTTTGTGACCGATTAATGCCCCAATTCAATCAAGCAATAAAATATTGTTTTATTATAATAAATCTTTGAGGATTTATGGTCTGCTCACCATCTGCTCATCTCAGTTTACTTTCAGATTTTCCGGTAATAACTCCAATAAAGCCAACCAGCTTTATAACGGCCCATAAACGTGAAACTCACAATTTATAACGTTCGCAATTAGTGCGAGATTTTTTTATGGTAGCATGTGCGAATTTGCCCAGCAAATATTGAATTTTCGTTTTTTTGGTTGAGTAAAGTCTCATGGATCTCGGGTATAAAAAGTATATTCTTTGAGTGACCAATCACTTATTTTGAGTGACCAGCCCGGTGGGTTTTTCTTTGTCAGAATTTCCTGCAAAGAAAGGATCTTGGGGTTCATTAAGGGGCGAAGTCCTGCTTGGATATCAGCGCTCTTCATTAGGTTTGCTAAAAGAACTCACTGGTATTTTCGTGCTAAAAGTTTAGGAGAGTAAATCAATAATTAATAAGGCCAGGAAGATTAACAATGAGCTCACAAAATTACTCAAGTCAACTCCACAGCGGCCAAAGGGAACAAAAACGGAGATTAAAAATGAAATCGCAAATTGGGAGAAACAGACTAGAAGGAACAAGATTAGCAATGAGTTAAAAAAGTTTCGCAAGTAAAAACCTACGCAAAGAACTGATATAAAAGAAAGAAGAAAGGGAATAGAAGAAGTGCAACACCAAGAGATTTACTCGAGTAAAAATCCGCTAAATCCAAATTCACAACTCGTAAGAAGGAAAAGTGAAGAGTGAAAGGAACTAGAGGATTGAACGAAAAAATCCCTCAAGAAAAAACCATACAATCACCGCCATTAAGCGAAGAGAAAGAAAAGAAAAAAATGGAGAAGGTGGACAATGCGAAAAACGTGAACTCACAATTAATTCGCGAATTCACGTAAAAATTCACGCAATTAAAGCCGCAAATCGAAACTGAAAAGAAGAAAGAAGGAGTGCACGCGACGATGGAAGGAAGAGAAAAAACCCACACAAATAAATCGATTAAAAATCGAAATAGAAGAAGCAAATTGAAACCACAACTCACAAGAAATAAATCACGAAACTATTGGAAGAAGTGAACAGTGAAAGGAACAAGAAAATTTCTCAATATTTGCCCAGCAAATATTGAATTTTCGTTTTTTTGGTTGAGTAAAGTCTCATAGATCTCGGCTATAAAAAGTATATTCTTTGAGTAAACTCGGAATAGAAGAAGTAAATTAAAACCACAACTCACAAGAAAGAAATCACGAAATTATTGGAAGAAGTGAACAGTGAAAGGAACAAAAAAATGTCTCAATATTTGCCCAGCAAATATTGAATTTTCGTTTTTTTGGTTGAGTAAAGTCTCATGGATCTCGGGTATAAAAAGTATATTCTTTGAGTAACCAATCACTTGTTTTGAGTGACCAGCCCGGCGGGTCCTCTGGCCAGTCCGGCCTGTCCTTGTGGGATCATCCTCAAAGGCGTGAATCCCAGCTCGGACTTCGGTATTCCATACAGTTTGAGTTTCTCCTCAAAAGTGGCCAGAAGATCGTCGTGCGCCTTACAAACCCGCGCCAATTCATACTGCAAGTCGCTTATGGCGGCGTTTTTCTTTGTCAGAATTTCCTGCAAAGAAAGGATCAATTGCAATTAGCTAAAAGCGGCAGGAACCGGCAAATCAGCCAACATCGACGCTAATTATCCGAAAGAATTATCACGCAAATTCCCATAGGAAAATGGGTTAAAGGGCTGGGTTGGATTGAAGGGATGTTCTGGAGGAGAATCGGGTCAATTCTATTTCGGTATCCGGCACTCCGGCCGGTGTTTCATAGCGAAACGGCTTCGGTTCGTTACCTAATTGATTCACACCTTGTTGCAGGCAATTTGCTGTAGGAAAAGGCGAAGCTTTCCAGAAAAACTTTTCGCTTTTTGTCCACTTCCTTTTTGTGCTGCAACTTACCTCCAAGTTCTTATTGGTTCTATCGGGAGATTGTCTCATCACCGAGGTGAGTTCACCAATAACAACGTCCCGGTGCTCAGTGATTTGGCTCAGAGTCTGGATGCGCTTCTGAAGCAGAATGTTCTTCACCCCAGTTTTCTGCTGGACCTCCAGAATGGCTGTGACGAACCGATCGTGCAGCTCATCGCGTTCTTCTTGCAGCTGCAACAACAACTGGTGGTCAAAGAATCCATGAAGAATCAAATCAATCAAATCATACCTTTGCAAACCTCAGCCCTAAGGCGTCGTTAGACCAGCGCAAGTCTTCCAGTTCTTTGGTTGTTTTATTGAGCTTCGCTTTGGTATTCTGAAAGGCAAATTTCCAGAAACCCCGACTATGTTTTTTTTGGCCCAAAACTAGCTACCGCCAACGAGATTTTATCCTTTTCGTAGTTCTGCAGCTGCCTCTTGTACTCCCGCACGTCATCGAGGGCTTGCTTTAAGGGAAGCACCAGCTTTTTGTTTTCCGTGGTCAAATCGGCCACCTGCTTGTTCATGCGCTCGTTCTGCTTCCGCAGAACTTCCATCTGGTCCTGCCAATGCGGAAATTTCACCATCAGGAACGATGAAACTCTCAATTATTTTACCGCACTCAATTTACCTTGAGGCTGCTGATCAAAGCCAGATTGTTCAGCGTGATGTCGTTGTAGTAGTTTTTCATTTCGTTGAACGCTTTGTCGTGGTGTTTTTTCAGCTCGGTGATGTGGTTGTTTTTCCGTTCCTCCACCTCGGAAATTTCCATGCTGGAATCCAGGTGTTTGTTTGCAAGTTTCCCTGCTGTGATCCACTCACTTACTCGTGCTTGGTGTTCAATTGCACCCTCAAATCGTAGAACTTCCTGTCGTATTTCAGCTCTAGCTCTTTGGCCTTTTCCTCAAACTCACTGCGAGCCACGCTGATCTGCTTCTCGTTTTCCTGCAAACCACCAGGCAGAAGCTCTTCCATCATTCCATTCATCCATCTTCCTCATACCATTTTCATGTTTTTGATTTGATCCTCATAGGAATTCCCCTGCTCTCGCAGCTGCATCTTCAAGTTCTTCTTGTCTTTGAGCAGCTCCTTCTCTTGCTCAGTATGCGCATCTTGGGCGTTCTTCAAGGAAACCAGTGCTTCAGCTTTACATTCAGTCAAATTGTTCTGATGCTCGTACTGCAGATGTTTCACTTTTTGCTTGTAGAACTTCAGTTCGTCGTCGTTTTTTTCCGCTGATTCTTCAATTTGTCGGTCCTTGTTTCTGTGCAGTGAAAATTGAGCAAAAGCTGTTAATTTAACAGAAACTTGCGTAAATTTCTACACTTGGTGGGCAAACAGTAGCGCGAAAGTAAGCGGATGGTGGCAGGTTCCTCCGGCGTTGACCGCTAGTATGGGAACCAACCAGAGGATGTCAGCAGCGGTACCGGCAAAGAATTTTAACATTTTTAGCATGCAAGAGTATTTTACCTTAGCTTGGCCCTGGCCTCCTCCAGCTCATTTCTGGTGATTTCCCAAAAAGTGCGCAACTTGTCCCTTTCCATCTGGAAAAAGTTCCGCTCCTCCCTTTCGCGCTCATTTTCCTCTTTGATCCTCAGGCAAAACACTTCCAGTTGTTCTCTGGTCATCTGAGTCGTATCCACGCCATCAATTATGGTTCCTGCAGAATGTTAAATAAATTTCCTTAAGACTTGATGTGAAACAGCTGGTCGCACCCAGTCCGCCCTTTCCTCCGCCTTTCTTCTTGGGGGGCTGAAATTGAGGAGTGCCATTTTAGAGGGATCGAGAGAGAGTTTTAAAAAATCTAATACCATTGTGAGGTGTTTTTAGCGCAAAAACCTTTGCAGGACTAAAGAAGTGACTGAAAAACAACCTGAAAAAAAGGTTTTGTCAATAAGGCTTCTGGGTGTCAATGGGGGGTTGCTAGGCGCTGTAGCTGAGCTTGTTCGATTCTTCATTGGTTCGGACACTTTCAGAGTTTCACTGAAAGCTACTAGATGGAAATGCGAAAAGAGTTTTTAATATGAAGTCGGGAAACTCTCCAAGAACGCCGCATGATCTTGCTTAACCTTGTCCATCACATGCCAGTGGTTTGCTACCTAAGAAATGGTAACGAAAAACCCGATTAAACCAATTAATCATAGCCAAGGTAAGATGATCTAATCAGAGCCATACCTGGGGTTGATGAAAAGTCGTAAATAAATCACACCGTGAGAGTTCAGCTGAATCTTTTCGGACGTTTTGCCAGCATAAGTGGCGAACATCTTCAACCGTGTGCCTCAGGTGGTTTTAGCACAAATCGATAAAGAACTGTTTGCAAATTAATAAATTACTTCATGTCACGTATTATTAGTGGTGACTGATTTATTGGCCGCATTGTTTTAAATGCGGCTTTAATTAGATAAGCAACATGATTTATTGGCTAATCGGCGCCCAAGTCGCATATAAATTGGGTTTTAACGGGTTTGCATAAGAGCTGAATAAGAAATTTTTAGTTTGAGTGAAGAGTGGCCCAGCAAGTCGACGAAGAATATCAGCTATTTATCAGCCATTTTTTGTGTGCTTCATTGACCATTCTTATATCTTTTTTTCTGTTATACTTCAATTTTTCCTGATTTTTCATTTGAGTTTTGTGGAGATTCTTAAGCGGCCGTTTGTTCATTAATTGCTAATCTTCCTTATCCTGTCATAATTCACTTCTGCGTGGTTTTTCTTTTTGATTTGTCGCTTTGATTGATTAATGGTGCCAATTTATTGTCAATATTTCTGTTTCCTTCATTGGCCACTTTGCCCATACTTTTTTGCTCTCTTTCCTTTCAGTTTCGATTTGCGGCTTTAATTGCTTGAGTGTCTTTGCTAATGTTTCTTGCTTAATTTTTCTCGAGAATGATATCCTTGTTTCTTTCACTGTTCACTTCTTCCAATAATTTTGTCTTTTCCTTGTTCTTCTTCCATTCCATTTCTTTCTTCCATAGTCGCAACATTCCGATTCTTGCTTTTTTCTCTCAAATTTCGATTTGCAAATTTAATTGCGTGAATTTTTAAATGAGTATATCTGCAAATTAATTGTGAGTCTTCTAGTTTCTTTCTCTTCGTTTTTTGGCTGTGATTATGATGTTTGCTTGTGTTTTTTCGTTCAAGTATAATCTTCTTGTCCCTTCCACTGTTCACTTCTTCCAATCGTTTTCTTTTTCTTCTCTGGCGTTGTGGTGTTGGATTTTGCGGATTTTTCCTTGATCTAATTTGTCGCCATTTTCCATTGTTTCACTTCTTCTATTCACTTTAGTTTGTGTGACTTTTTCTGTCTCTTTTTGATTGATTCATTCATTTTTTATCTCAGATTTGATTTGCAGCGTGATTGCGTGATTTTTTACATGAGTACCTTTGCAAATTAATTGTGAGTTCGAGTTTTTCGCATTGTTCACTTTCTCCATTTTTTGCTTTTCTTTGTCTTTGTTTAATGGCGTTGATTATATGGACTTTTGCTTGACTAATTCCTTTTGGTTCAGGGGTAATTTTCTTGTTCCTTTCACTGTTCACTTCTTCCAATAATTTCGTGATTTCTTTCTTGTGAGTTGTGGTTTTAATTTACTTCGTCTATTCCGATTTTTAATCGGTTTATTTGTGTGGGTTTTTTCTCTTCCTTCCATCGTCGCGTGCACTCGTTCCTTCTTCTTTTCAGTTTCGATTTGCGGCTTTAATTGCTTGAATTTTTACGTAAATTCGCGAATTAATTGTGAGTTCACGTTTTTCGCATTGTCCACCTTCTCCATTTTTTTCTTTTCTTTCTCTTCGCTTAATGGCGGTGATTGTATGGTTTTTTTCTTGGGGGATTTTTTCGTTCAATCCTCTTGTTCCTTTCACTCTTCACTTTTCCTTCTTACGAGTTGTGAATTTGGATTTCGCGGATTTTTACTCGAGTAAATCTCTTGGTGTTGCACTTCTTCTGCTCCCTTTCTTCTTTCTTTTATATCAGTTCTTTGCGTAAGTTTTTACATGCCAAACTTTGTTAACTCATTACTAATCTTGTTCTTTCTATTCTGTTTCTCCTATTTTGCGATTTCATTATTAATCTCCTTTTCTGTTCCCTTTGGCCGCTGTGGAGTTTACTTGAGTAATTTTGTGAGCCCATTGTTAATCTTCCTGTCCTTATTAATTATTGATTTACTCTCCTAAACTTTTAGCACGAAAATACCAGTGAGTTCTTTTAGCAAACCTAATGAAGAGTGCTGAAATCCAAGCAGGACTTCGCCCCTTAATGGAACCCCAAAGTGTTTAAAATTAATCAATCTTATAGAAGAAGTTCTTATAGAAGCGCAAGCAAATGCACTTTTGACTGCTTCTCCATTGGAGGCCAATTTTTTAGGCGTGAAAACCTTAGGGCTTTGCCCCTTATTTGAGCCCCAAGTTAAGAAGGAAATTTTTTTAAATTCTTGTCTTCTACTGCTGAATTTATAGACTTTTAGAAAAACTCCGGTATAACCGATTTTATTCGGTAGATGCACGCTTCAAGCAGCGCCGGATCTAAACGTGATCTAATAGAATTTGTCTATAATTTATATGCGAGAATAGCCGGAGGCGAATCTTCCATCTTGCTTCGAACTGGTTACAACTAATAAATCGTGAATTGTTAAGGAAGAACGAAAAAAATTAATAATAGAAGTGACTAGAACAGGGCGAGGGCCGTTCACCCGTAATAGAACAACGACGCATGCAAAAGAAGACAGCACTTTTTTGTATTGATTCTTTTTCTGCTAATTTTGGCCAAATATTCACTGTTATCTTTATCTTATCAATGCGAATGAAGCAGCAGAAGTAGATAGTGTTGGGAGCGAAATTAGTGACTTTGAGGCATCAAATTGAAGACTGTCCGCCTGCAGCTCGCCCATTACTCAATTCTTTTTTTAGTGGCAAATGATGAGTTGATCAAACCAACCCCACTATCCTCTCATAATTGGAGGAAGCTTCTTGATGTGATCTCGTAACGAACAGTCTATCTAGAACTTCCACGCTCATTCAAAGTTCCACCATCGACGCTGTGTTTTGTCTATTAACCGTGACTTCTACGCTGTTTAGTTCGAGGTAAAAGCGCGAAAAGTTCACTCTACTGATTAACAGGTGAGTTTCGTGTTTTTTCTTTAAAACCTGTGTTTTTGAGCCGAAAGTTTTAATTTTTTTTTTGAGTTTGAAAAAGTGTTTTTGGTTTCAAATTGAAAAACTGGGGGGATTTTTCTCGATAAATCACCTGAGTGCCACAGGAGTTTTCAAAAACGTGTTTCCGATAAGAATTTGAGTAAAAATTGCAAAGTTTCTTCCAATGCTTGAAAATGGGGCAATTTTAAATCAGCATCTCTCAAAACCTCCCAAAAATTGCAAATCTGGTCAGGCAATTTTCCGCATTTAGTCTCCTTGGTCTCCTTAAACGATTCGACTTAGATTAATGACGCTCTGGGTAAAATTGGCCAATTTCACCGCAAACAATCGAGCCAGAAAATTACCATAAATGTGGGTGTAAAACACCGAAATAAACATGGCCTATGATCTATCCTGACAACGCATATGCATCTTAATTCACGAATAAATTATTCGGATAGTTGATGTCACCAACAACATTATAAATATTAGTTAATCCACGTCGAAAGGTCGCCTCGATTTAGATTTTATTAATATATTTTATTTATGATTGCAGTTGTTATTAGTTTAATGCCACTAACAATATGTATGGACGTTTCGTGCTAATCAAGACCAAGTCCATAAATTCCAAAAACAATGCTTAGAGTAGATAAATGGCAATTAGTGGTGCAAATTAGCGTCGAAGCTCTAATAGGAAGATGGTACTCGAACCGGAATTTCCATAATTGAATTCTACTAGTGGAAGATGATGCTAATCAATGGAGCAAATTGCGTATATTTCACGTGGTGTGATGTTAATCGCACAATTAACTTTTTGAGAATCAGTGCCGGTTTACTAGCTAGAGAAACGTTGTGGAGACTGAAGAGTTTTTCGGGATTTTAACTAGCGCTTTTTTGCTTTTATTAAACAATTAAATGGCACTTTGTAGAATATTTACACTCAACCTTCTACGTGCAGCAATTCTATAAATCCCCAACAATCAAATATTTACACATTTTCCACTGACGAGCGTTTAATCAGTTATTTATCTCAAATGTTACCAATGCAAGTAGAGCTTAATTATCTGGCAAATAAAAAATAATCCCCTTTTGCGTTTGCATGCTTTTGTCATGATTTTTTTCTGCAAGTTGTAGCCCTGTCGTGCAGCATAGTAGAAAAAAAAACAGTCAAATTGAAGAAAAAATTGATTAAATCAGGAATAAAACTGCACAAACGTTAATGGTTCAACTTATAAACGACGATTGCCTTATCAGATGTTGTTAGATCTGGGACATGCGACATAAGGTGGCCTTATTCCATACATCAGAATCTAGATAATAAATTTTAACTAAAAAATATAATCAATCTATCAGCGTCAGAAAAAAAACGAATTTAATTGATTGAGTTAAGGGTCATAAAAAAATTCATAACTTCTAAACTTGTGTGAGTTGGAAGTTGAAGTTCATCTGCAGTGAACACAAATCATTCAGGAAGCTGCGGATCGAATTTCACTGAAATCGAAGAGCGAGTTGATTTCTGCCAATCGATGATATTTGAGACTGCAAGTGAAATCTTCAAAACTTTTACCCGCTTATGAATAAAAATTCATAACTTCCAAACTAGTGGGAGGCGGACGTTGAAATTTCTCCAGAGTGAACACAAATGATTCAGAAACCTACAGGTCAAATTTCATTTAAATCGAAGAGCGAGTTAATTTTTGGCAAACGATGATTTTTGAGGCTGCAAG